ACGTTTCATAACTAGTTTAGTTTTTTGTTCAATTTCATAAATAGTGTATAGTAGTTGGTACAACTTCATGAATACTCTCTTTTTTTGTCCAATTTCATAAATAATGCCTCTTTTCTTGGTCTAGTTTAATAAATAGTGTCTCTTTTCTTGGTTCATTTTTTTTGCTCCATTTTAGAAATAGTGCATTCTCCGGTTTCGCTGCATCCTCTAAGCAACAACCACATTCATGATAGTGATGATGGTGGTGATGCCCATACCTATGAACATGACGTTCTTCATGAGATACCCAGTCGTTCCTAACTTCTTTTCCACTTTCTGTTCATGAGATACCCAAATCAAACCAAACCCTCGTTACAAAGCTGCAGAACTTTGTAATTCATATAAAAGTCAATCTCAATACAACAACCATCGCATCTTCTTGGTCGGCATTGCCTCTGCATCTCTTGCTCACTGGGGACTTGAATTTTCTTTGAATCTCTTCAATTTCTTAGCTTTCTACACCATACTTAATTTTCTTATCAATTTACAAAACAAGAACTAAAAAAATGTACCATAGGACTCACTTGCTCAATCATTGTATGCGTTCGTCTTCGAGCTGGCTGTAATTTCCCTTTTCCTTGAATAGTTGGATGTTGTGGTGTTTGCAGTAGAGCTTTCCTTCATGTGCAATGTAATTGGATGGGCTTATGGCTTGAGGTAGGCTTCACGGCTTGAGAAAGAGGATAAGATGCCATGGAGGACTCGGACACTGATTCATGAAGTTGGATTGATTGCAAACTGATGGTGTGCACAAATGTTGGAGACGACGGGGAGGGAGAAGTAAATGAGTTGGTGTGGTACGTGCTTCTAGCTAGTGTTTTTTTTTTCTTTCTCGTTCGTTCTTATCACTAAATAAAGTTAGTAGATAGTTTTTTTTTATTAAAATTCAAAGTTTTGAAATCATTTTCATTAGTTTTCCTTCAAAATAAACAACACTATTTTTGAAACTACAGCAAAATAACTAACATTATTTCTGAAATTGAACCAAAACAACTTATAATATTTTTGAAACTACAACAAAATAACCAACAATATTTCTGAAACTTAATCAAAATATTCCGCACTATTTTCGGAACTAAAGCAAAAGTACCCATTATTTCTAAAATGGACCAAAACAACTCACACTATTTATGGAATAGAACAAAATAAACACTATTGATGAAATTATAGCAAACTAACCTCCACTATTTCTTAAACTAATATATAAGTAAGTCACTATTTATGGAACTATAGTAAAATTACACTCTTTCTGAAAATCAAACCAAAATAACTCACACTATTTTTGAAACTACAACAAAATAACCCACACTACTGCTTGATGTGGAATTTTACTTTTCTTGACAATAAAACATATAATGTTGGATTCTATTACAAAGAGAGTGACACACCCCGATCCAAAATCAAGGCGTGCTGGCTGTCATGTGAGGGTGATGTAGCCATGTACACAGTGCAAAAACGATAAGGATAAGAGATATACGAATAAATAAAAAAACGAAAGCTTATTAATGTGCACTAATAAGCAGAAAGTGCTAGGAATGAGATACAAGTGTAATTACACCTAATCAAAGCGTAGAAAGTCTAGGTGCAGTCCGGTAGGACAAGTACTAGTTATACAGTACCAGAAGAGGTCCTATGGATATTATATTTTGTCAGAACTGCCGAAATCCTAAAATGCCACCAACATCAAGTCTACCTAAAACCTGGAGGAGCGCAAAATAGAAAGTGTGAGTGGGTAAAAACAAAACTTTTCAAAATCATTTCATTAACAAAATGCTCTAACCCCTTGTCGTAAAACATGTATAATTCTTTCCAAAAATAGATTATAAATATATATATTCAAATCATGCTTCACATATCCATAATTATAAATACACCATGCCAAGATATAAACATAATAAGTACTCACGTGAAATAAATTCATGGAAAATAACATATTGGCCGGAACCCCAGTAGAAGTATGTACGGCTGAATTCATAGCTCATTAATCAATATAGCCGGAGTCACTGCATGTGACATATACGACTCTACACTGCACACGAGTCGGAACCACTGGAAGGGTCTGTACGACAAGACTGGGTGTAATATAGTTATGCTCAATGCTACGCTCTCATGATAGTTGTACGATAAATCACTAGTCACCTACAAGTCGGAACCACCTATAATGGTCTGTACAACAAGATTGTGCACCTAAATTGGATCCAATGTGAGCATATGGTGCGGGATGTGACATTATAAACAGATATGTGCCATATCTCTGGCTAAATCACTAACATCGGGGTGTAGGTTTATGAGCTCAATGTTTTTCAACTAATCACAACCGTTATTCACATTTACAATTCATATACTCACCTGGGACTTACCTGAGCGTCCTTAGCACCACAATTATATATACATGCAAACATCTTATGCATATTCTAAATGTAAATCATTTGGCATGGCAATTTAAGTCATAACTTATTTAAATGCATTTTCTAGGAAAGTTACCAAGTATATACATATATACTTAAAACCAAAAGCCCACTCAATGGTATGTCGAAGGGTCGTAACCCCCGAGTCGCCCTTAACTGTGCTTGTCCTCGGGATACGTCTCCCCTATATGCGAAACAACTATAAAAACGTTAATTTAAAGCACCTAACCAATACTAACTAATAACTTCTTATACATTACTCAAATGAGGTATATAAATATACCATCGTGACCTACACAACTCTATGAACACGCCAAAATTTTTAAAATAATTTTTGGAGCCCTCACGCGCCGTCACCAGTCATGCTCCGACAAAGGCATGGCCCTACGCGCGGCCACGCGCAGGGACCCTAACGAAATCCCCTAACCCCGTTAGGAATATTCCGTTAAAAAGTAACAGAAACCGTTAAAACTAATCAACGTCGTTAGGAATATTCCGTCGTCTCCTACCTTCAAACTCCGGCGACTGTCGTTGTCGTCGGAAACTGGAAAAACTTAAAATCCTTATAACTTCTTCATTTTTGAAGCAAAACTGATGAAACTTAAACCAAATTGAAGCTTACAACGAGTAGAACACATTCTTACCAATTTCAAGCTCTAAAAATCACAGGATCTCGTCGAAGAAGATATGATAATTCCGGCCAACTTTCAAACTCGCCAAACTCGATTTCCCGAAGTCCAATTTGCTTGATTTCTGTCCTCCGAGCTTCGTAAGAACGTCCTAAAGCTTCCTACGAGCTTAAAATCCCCTGAAACATCCATAATTACGACCATGTGAACAATACTCAAATCGAGGGTGATGATTTCTCGGATTTTACAAGCTCTCAAGTCCTAAAAATGGTACGAAGGGACTCATGAACTTGTAGGGAACAAGAACATTACCTTTTTAACGTCGATCCGTGCGTGAAAGCTTGAGTTCGAAGTTCGTCCGTACGGTTTGTACGGAAAATAGAAAGAAGTCCCAGAGGGAGGAGAGAGAGCACAAGAGTGATGGAGAGTGTGTGTGTGTGTGTGTGTCCACATGGGTCACCCACCAAAACCAACAAAACTAAGTCCTTTTTAGTTTCCCTTAGTTCTAAACTTAGGAAAATAATGGATGGGTCCAAAACCTAAGTACACCATACACACAACACACTATAACGTCCAAGGGTATTTTAGTAACTTCCACGTTCGAGACCAATTAATATTCCAAAATTCCGGGACAGGCTGTCGCAGAGAGCGCATCAAGTTTCACAAATGAAATTTATCATTCATTTGTACCTTTATTTGTGCGAATTATTCTGATTTAAAAGTGAATTATATCATCGATTTTGTAATTTATTTTATAATGTTTTGTTGTATTTTATAGAAAGAGGATTGCAGGGTGAATTACAAGAAGAACATTAATTTCCAACCTTTTCATATTCTCCCTCCCTTATCCTTTCTGATATGTTCCTGCGTTCTCTTCCTTCTCTTTTTTTCTTTTACTCCTCTTTTTCGTCTAACACAACAAATGGAAATTTTGATTAGTTTTGTTAAAGTTTGAAGCATCTTAAAACCTGCAGTAGCAACATGAGTTACATGATAAACCTGGAAGAATTAGGTTGGTTTGTCAAAAAAAAAAAAAAAAAAAAAAAACTATAAAAACCAACCGAGATTCCATGCTTCAAATTCCATATATCAAAAAACCACTAGCAACTTGACAAATCATGTGCATAACCTCTAAATTGTTGGGCATAAAAACTAAAATGCTCTAAATATGTGTAACAATTTTCTAAAAAAAAGGAAAAGAAAATAAATTGGTGGCAAATTATGCAGATTCATGGAGGAGAAGAAAGAATCAAGATCCTCTCCTAATCCTAAAAAATTGAGTGTAAGGATCAGATGATTCGGGTTGTTGAAATTTAATCGAACGGTCACAATTATTATAACTTTCAAGAGGCCTCTTGTTTGTAGTCGTTGAATCAAATTTCAACGATTCGAATTATTTGATCTTTAGGTTCAGTTTGTGAGATTAGGAGAAATTCTTGATCCGGAAGTAAGGGTTAGAGAAGAAAACCCAAAAAATGTGAGAGAGAGAGTAAAAACCAAGGTAGACATTAATGCCTTGTCAACTATGATAGGGTTAAAGTAGATTCTTATTTGTAACTGTTGGATTAAATTTCAATGGACCGAATTTATAGATCCCTAAAATTTGAAAGAAGAGATCCGAGATGATCCCTTTCCCTTAACAAATTTTTTTGAGTCTGAATAGTTTTTTATGCATGGAAAAAGCAACATGGAATTTTAAATTTTAATCACAGTTGGATTTGAATAGGATAATGGCTCGGTTGGGTTCCGCTAAGTTTGGAAAAAGCATTTACGGTTGGTTGGGCTTTTAATTCAAACAGTAAGTTGTTATGTTTCTAAGGCTTAGTATATGAATAATTATGTTTTTATGATTAAATTTTAAACTCTTTTGATTAAATAATAGTTCTAGGATGATTTTGATTAAATTAAATACTCAAATTATTTTCATTAAAAGAATTGCATTTGACATTTTAAATTGTTCTTTCGATGGATCCTCTCTCATACCCTCCAATAATTGTCATATGCCTCCGTCTTTCTTTCTCATTTTCTTCATCCTCCGTCCTTTCGTCCCTCCGTCCCACGAATTATTTCTGTAACTAGGGGAATTAGCTTCTATTTATCCGTCAGAGGCTGAGGATCGTACAGGTTTTTCCTCTCTTTCGATCGTCTTTATTTTTCTTATCTAGTTCTGGAATTCTCATTTAATTTTACTTGGGTGTTGGATTTGTCTTTGATCGAGCAGTTTCACTCTGTTATTTTTTGGGCTGAAACCAAGGGCTTTGGCTTGTAATTCTGTCTGCTTGTAATTTGGTCAATAGTTCCCTCCTTCTCCTGAGACATCGTTTGACTGCAATAATAGGGATCGATTATTCTTGTTATTATTATTCTATTTAGTTATCCTTGTGAATTAAAGAAAATGTTAAATTCAATATAAATTTAATTTTTTGTGAGGTATTATTAGAAATATTCCACTGCTTTAGAAAAGGTCGAAGGATTTTATCTTGTTGTTATGTCTCTGATAAAACTGAAAATTAAAAAAAAAAAAGTCAATTTATCCTAAAACTGAAAATTTGATGTATGTTTTTGTGTCTAATCTACGTTTATCCTAAAACTGAAAATTTTATGTATATTTTTGTAGTCTTATGATATGAGTATGTTACAACTGGACTATTATCTGTTGGCGGACGAGAAGGATGGACGTATAATTCTTCCTACTTGCCTTCCAATGAGTATGATATGAGTATGTTACATACGGTTACATAAATTTTCTTTTGCATGTGTCGGATTGAAACTATGAAAGTAGCTGTGTTATCTATCTGTGCAACACAAGAATACAAGTTGGAAGACTGTTAATTTTGCAGTTTTAATCGTAAAAGGTGCAGCAACAATTAATGTATACCAGTACAGCTCTTGAAGCCTACTGTCCATCCTCACCTTCCTCCCCCCACAACCTCCTCCTCCTCATTAGAAGATGAGATTTACGACGTGTTCTTGAGCTTTAGTGAAGATACGCGCAAAACATTCACGGACCACCTCTACTGGAAATTGAAAGCGGCCAGACTCGACACCTTTATCGACGAGAACGAGTCAATGCGAAGAGAGGAAGCTATATCAGACAAAGTGAAGCGAGCAATCCGAGGGTCTAGAATTGCTGTCATCATCTTCTCAAGGAGGTATGCAGATTCAATCCGGTGTCTTGAGGAGCTGGTGAAGATCATGGAGTGTAAAAGAACAATGGAGCAAATGGTTTTGCCAATATTTTATGATGTTGATCCTTCGGATGTCAAGAATCAGTCTGGGACTTTTGCAAAAGCATTTAAGAACACGAAAACCATTTCCATCAAGTTAAAGATAAGGACGAAAAGCTATGGCTATGGAGAAATGCTCTTACTGAAGCTGCAGATTTGGCCGGTGAGGATTTTGCAAAGACTGACGGGTAATTATTTACTTATATCTTCCTTTTTTCTTCTTTAACCTTGCATAATATATTTAATTTCATTTAACATAAGTTTTGGTTTTTTAAGCCTCTATTTAGCAAATGTCGAAAATATTAATTAAAAAAATATTTATTTATTTTACACATTGTACTGCAGAGCTTGGAAACTATGATACGAGATTTTGTGTGGTCAGATATGGAGCTAATAACATGGGTCAACGTAGTACATAATGCTTTCAGAAGTTTTCAAAATTTTAATCGTAATCCACGATTTTGATACATTAATTACTAAACAATTCTTGATCTAATTTAATCTGGCAGTTGCAAAATAAATCTTATTTAAGCTTAATTTTGGGTTTTAACTACCAGGTATGAAGGAGAGTTTATCAGGAAAATAATTGACGGGATCACTAGAATACTGAAGAACACATCCTTAGGCGTAGCCACCGGACAAGAAGGTAATCTAATGATGCATGATATGATTCGAGACATGGGCAGAGAAATCGGGCTTGCTGAATCCTCTGGCAACCCTGAAGAACGTAGCAGATTGCGGGTTCCTGAAGATGTAGCAGGTGTATTGAGGAACAACTCTGTAAGTAACTCACAATCAAATTCTGTTAAATTCTTGTGCACAACAAAAGAGAAGTACATGCACATCCTCATCAGATAAATTTCAATACCGATGTGTCAACCATATACTATACAATACGTTGATTGGAAATTAATGTTGAAAAATCGCACACTAGACCTTGTTCTTTAATGTAACAAACGGCAATATATTAAACTAGCAAATATAGAAAACTTAGAAACACACAAGACTTATACTGGTTCGGCAGAACTTTTGCCTACGTCCAGTTATGATTTCTCTAGGTAGAGAAATCACCCTTCCTTTGATTAATAATAGAGAATTACAAAACTTTTGCAAAACCCTAGAACTAATATCTCTCTCTTATTTTGGCTGTCACAGTTTTTCTCCCCTACAATTTATGCCTTGTCGTAGCCTATTTATAGGCATAGGTTCAGCTTCTATGTCCCAAGGCTAATTGAATTCCTATTCTAAGTGGATTATGAAAATACACTTATCCAAATCCAATAGACTTCTAGAAATCCAAACCTAAATTGAATAAGGAAAACTGAAATTCTTTCCTAAACCCTCTAGGACAAGAATCGGTATACCTTTCATTTTCCCTAAAACAATCCTAAACCAACTAGGACACTTTGACGAGCCAAAAAACATAACAATCTTCACCTTGGTGAGTCAAACCAAGTCTTGATCGTTGCACCCTAGAGCACCTTTGAACCTTCTTGAAGCAGCTCTGGAAATCTTCAAGAGTCATCACCTTGGCAATCGTCTTCTTGCCTTATTGCACCTCAAGTGAGGAGGTGCTCCACTGTAATCAATCAACGAGATTGATCAAGTTCAAGCAATGCTTGAACTTCTTGGCCGACACTATCTTTGTAAGGAAATTTGCAGCATTGTGATCTGTATGGATCTTTTCAATCCAAATCTCCTTAGACTCCACCCAATCTCTGATTCTATGATACCTTGCTTCAATGTGCTTTGATCTTCCAGAAAAAAAACCTGATTGTTTACCAAGTGAATGGCACTTTGACTATCACACTTCAACTTCACACAATCTTCAGTGATTCCCATTTGACTTACCAAGCCACTAAGCCAAATTGCTTCCTTTCCAGCTTCGGCCAATGCAATATACTCTGCCTCTGTGGTCGACAAAGCTATAACTGGTTGCAGTAGTGTCCTCCAACTGATTGGTCCCTCTGCGCATGTAAACACATAACCAGAAGTTGACCTTCTCTTGTCCAAGTCCCGTGCATAATCGGCATCCACATATCCTAACACCCCTGCATTTTCCTTTTGCTTCTCAAACATAATTATTTGTTGCCAAGAACCCTTCCAATAACGCAAAATCCACTCGATTGCATCCCAATGTTGCTTTCGTGGATTTGCCATCTATCTGGAGACACTGATTGCTTGAGCTATGTCGGGATGTGTGCATACCATTGCATACATAAGGCAACCCACGACATTAACATAAGGCACCTTCTCCATTACTTGTTGCTCTTCCTCGAACTTAGGACGCTGTTGACCACTTAACCTGAAATGAGCCGTCAAAGGAGTTGAAACTACCTTTGCTTCTTGCATGTTGAACTTCTCAAGAACCTTCTGAATATAATTGGCTTGTGATATCCAGATCCTTCTAGCGATCCTATCTCTCTGAATTTCCATGCCAAGGATCTTCTGTGCAGCACCTAGATCCTTCATATCGAACTCCTTGCTCAATATCTTCTTCAAGTCTTGAATTCTAGGCTTGTGTTGACAAGCAATTAGCATGTCATCCACATATAGCAATAACAATATGATCATCCCATCTTGGAACACATGATAGTACACGCAACAGTCATATAAACATTTTCTAAAATTAATTTTCAGCACGAAGGAATCAAACCTCTTGTACCACTGCCTTGGAGACTGTATCATGCAATACAGGGACTTCCTTAGCTAACATACTAGGTTCTCTTTCCCATATTCAACAAACCCTTCTGGTTGAGCCATGAAATTTGTCTCCTCTAGATCCCCATGAAGAAATGTTGTCTTCACATCCATCTGCTCAATGGCCATGTCATGCTGAATTGCCATTGCTAAAAGCAATCTGATTGAAGTATGCTTGACTACAAGTGAAAATATCTCATCATAATCCATCCCTTCCTTTTGTGAGTACCCCTTAGCCATGAGCCTTGCTTTGAATCGCATGACATCTTGTTCATGTAGTCCTTCCTTTTCCCTAAATACCCACTTGCATCCAACTAGCTTTCAGTTTTTGGGCTTAGGAACCAACTCCCAAATAGAGTTCTTGTAAAGAGACTCATTTCTTCTGTCATAGCACTTATCCAACTATCTCGCTTATCTCTCGCTATAGCTTATCGATAAGTAGTCAGATTTCCTTGACTAATGTTAAGAGCATAATTAACTTCGTTTTGATCAAACCCAAACTTGTCAGGTTTCTTCTTGTTCCGATTTCTAGTGCTATGCATCTCTGGAATGCAAGTGGCTTGTTGGTTGGAGTTCGAACCCTTTGGGATGTCTGGCGGATTAGAGTGCCTTCAATTTGCCTTGTTTCTTGCTCCACCTGATTCCTAACTGGTGAACGATGCTGATGTTCTTCTTCCTCAAAACCATCAGATTCGGTCTCTTGCTCGATTTACTCCACCTGAGCTTCTTCTTCATCTGAACTGATTAACGGAATCTTTGTTGCTTCAATTTCAGCATTGTTCTTCTCCCTACTCCTCTCGACTTTATTCAAAGGCATGATTGTCTCATCAAAGACAACATCTCGGCTGACAACCTTTTTCCTGTTATTGATATTCCAAAGTTTGAAACCCTTAACTCCTTTCTCAAAACCTAAAAATATGCAATGTGTAGACTTTGATTTGAGCTTGGACCTTTCATCACTTGTAATATATAATCTTTCCTCCAGTTTGATTCTCGGTTTTTGTTTTCCATTCCTTGAACTTTGCAAAAACCTCGGATTTCTATGTCATGAAATAAACCCAAACCTTCCTAGAAAAATCATCCATGAGAGTAACAAAATACATGGCTCCACTATTTGATTTAGTTGGTGTAGAGCCCCAAACATCTGAGTGAGTATAGCTGAGTTGCTCCTTGCTTCGGTTATCTACACTGCTACTTGCGAATGATACCTTTTTTTGCTTCCCGAGAACACCGTATTCACAAAATTCCATTTCGCAAGATGACACACCTTCAAATAGGCCTTGCTTGTGTAATTCTTGCAACCCCTTCCGGCTTATGTGCCTGAGCCTATGATGCCAGAGTTTAGTCTTGTCTTCTATACTTTGATTTACAGAAACAGCTGCTCCTCCGACTATAATGGTCCCAATTAACTTATACAACTTATTGGTTTGTAGGTCACCCCACATTACCACTATCAATCCTTTGGTTACCCTGAGTCTTCCTTTTTAAGACTTGTACCCATAACTGGCCTCATCTTAAAGTACCCAAGGAAATCAAATTCTTTCTTAGTCTAGAGACATACCTTGACGTTCCCCAAAGCTTGTATCATCCCATTGAACATTTTGATTCGAACAGTGCCGATTCTTCTTACAGGACATGAAGAATCGTCCCCCATTAAGACTTCCTCGCTGTCGACTTAGTTCTAAGTACCGAACCATGCTCTTACTGCACACATGAAAAGTGCATCCGGCATCTAAAATCCAATTTGTGAACGCCTTGGAGCCTGATGTTATTGAAAGAAGCTCCTCGTCACTCTCATGCTCGTTGACTGCACTAATTGAACATGAGCTTCCTTCCATCTTGGCTTTCTTCTCTTTCCAAATCTTGCAGTTCCTCTTGCAATGATCGGCTGAACCACATTCGAAGAAACCTTCATTCTTTTCCTTTTTCTTCTTGGATTTTGACCTACCTCTGTTGCCGGCATTCATCTTCTCTTTTGACATCCTAGAACGCCTTGAACGTATCTCTTGATACCAATTGTTGAAAAACCGCACACTAAACCTTGTTCTTTAATGTAACCAACGGCAATAGACTAAACTAGCAAATATAGAAAACTTAGAAACACACGACTTATACTGGTTCGGCAGAACTTTTGCCTACGTCCAGTTATGATTTCTCTAGGTAGAGAAATCACGACTCCTTTGATTTTGATTAATAATAGAGAATTACAGAACTTTTGCAAAACCCTAGAACTATTCTCTCTCTATTGTTTTGGCTGTCACAGTTTTTCTCCCCTACAATTTATGTCTTGCCCGCAACCTATTTATAGGCATAGGTTCGGCTTACATGTTCCAAGGCTAATTGAATTCCTATTCTAAGTGGATTAAGAAAATACACTTGTCCAAATCTAAATAGACTTCTAGAAATTCAAACCTAAATTGAATAAGGAAAACTGAAATTCTTTCCTAAACCCACTAGGACAAGAATTGGTATACCTCTAATTTTCCCTAAAACAATCCTAAACCAACTAGGACACTTTGACGAGCCAAAAAACCTAACAATTAACAAACCCATACCACAGGTTGAACGAAAAGAGAAATAGAGACCGAAAGGAAAGTATAAGATAGAACTAAGGTACTTGAATTTATTGAATTGTCTCAAAGTAACTAAAAACATACGTCCTGCTCTTCTTAAATACAATGGGAAAAATATTACATGTAACAAAAGCTGACATGATAACTAACTATTATAGACGGTTGTAAGACACAACTGAAGTGTAAGCACAATTCTATGGCTTCGATCAAGAGGTAGTGCAGCCAGCTGAGAGTAAATAATAAGGCTGCCTATCAGAGGTTGTGCTTCCCTTTTACAGTTATACGTCCAGTTTATAGCTTTGCTTTCGTGTGTATAAGCCGTTCAAATGAAAATAATCCGTTTCTTACTCAGTTCCTTTCTGTATTCCTAACAGGGTACGAGAAAAATTATAGGACTCAGTTTAGATTCGCATGAATCTGACAAGCCTGGCTGCAGTACAGAATCATTTCAAAAGATGCAAATTTTGAGAGCGCTCAAACTCACTGGAAGTTGCATGCATCATTCCACTCTGGCACGATCCCCAGACTTTCTAGAAATCATAAAACTAGAGAAGCTGATACTCAAAGGCTTGCCGGATTTGTCAGAGATTCACTATTCCGCAGCACACTTGTTTAACCTGAATTATTTATCACCGGACTTACTGATGGAACTGATAATCGATGACTGCAAGAGTTTGTCCAAGTTTCTCCCTTCCACGGTACAACAGAAGAACCTTAAGCATTTATCGCTTGTGAACTGCAAGTTAACAAATGATGCTATTCCTAAGGATCTTGGGGGCCTATCTTCTTTAGAAGTTTTAGATCTAAGAGGCAATGCTTTTAGCCGGCCACCTTCCCTCAGTGGCCTTTCCAAGCTTCAAGTCTTACACTTGGGTAATTGTAAGAACCTTGGGGCACTCCCAGATTTACCTAAAAAATCGAAAATACTGAAAGCGAATGAGTTCATGGCACTGAAAAAGAAGACCGTGAGGAGGGCCGACAAAGAACAATTTAGGGAAGGGAAATCTGCTGACAGAGAGCAAAAGAAGCTTGAGGAGGAGGCAGCAGAGGAGAATGAGTTCATGGCACTGGAAAAGAAACCCGTGAGGAGGGCAGACAAAGAACAACTGAGGGAAGGGGAGTCTGCTGACGACGAGCAAAAGAAGCTTGAGGAGGAGGCTTTCATGGCACTGGAAAGGAAAGCCGTGAGGAGGCCCGACAAAGGACAATTTAAGGAAGGGGAGTCTGCTGACGAGGAGCAAAAGAAGCTTAATGAGGAGGCAGCAGATAAGAATGAGTTCATGGCACTGGAAAGGGAAGCCGTGAGGAGGGCCGACATAAGACAGTTTATGGAAGGGCACACATTTGCTCATCCTGTTATTCTTTATCGTCGGACAGTATTAAGCAAGAAGAAAAGGACAATACTTGGTTATTCATTAGCCAGTGCAAAAAAAATTGACTGTACGGTGGCCCAATAAAAACAAAACACATGTTACAATTATAATTTTATAAACCTAATCTCCTCCATCTTTTCTCTGTCGATCCCGCACCAAAATCCTCCTATTCTTTATCGTGGAAGCCATCGCAGCACCCCCGTCGTCGTCTGGAATCTCGGTCGTGGAATCTATGGTATGACGAAACATTCGCCCAAAGTTCAACGAATAATTTCAAGCTCCCTCATAATTTTTCTTCTGGGTGAAATATCCTTCGTAGGGTTAGCAAGATGTATCTGATCTGTCATGGGTTTGGTGAAATTTGAGGGGTGCTGTCATGGCTTCGGGGGAAAGGAGAGGGAGGTGATGGTGAGGTATGGCAGTTGTGTACTTGGTAGGAGAGAAGATGGATGTTTGGATACAAGTAGGAGAAGAAATAGTGTATTTGGTTGAAACAATGGTAGGACTTGGGAGAAGTTTCATTTGACAGGTGTTTTTAATTTAGTGGTCCACATAACATGGTCAGCAATTTAAATACTCACTAGTGAGAATCCAAGTATTATCAAGAAGAAAAAACTAGTTCCGATGAGGATCGCTCCCTTACCCACCTCCAGGGAGATGGGAATGACCGACCTCGGATGGTCATGTAATAGCATGAACAAAACATCTCTCTCCCTGTATTTCGAGTCTGTTCTCCCTTCTCCAAGTCGTGTCTGTCTAGCGATACAAACATCTAGGGAGAAGTCCATACTTCATTTTGTTCAATCCTTTTTTTATTGTTAAGTAACATATAAGAATGAGATCCACCCTATTCGTGACTTTTTTGGGGGGGGGGGGGGGGGGGGGGGGGGGGATTTTATGACCGGAGGAGGATTGGATTGGATTATTTGACACCAATCTCAACATGGTTTAAATACCGGGTTAATTACAATTGAATAAGATGAGATTATAGATTTTCTATGTAAGTTTATATTAGGCCATTTAGAATGAAGAAGTTTTGCAAGTGGCCTTCTACCACATTGGTGGAGAGGTTTTTGCAATTGGTTTCCTAATATATCATCTGATCTAACAAATCTATTATTTGAAAAAAAAAATGAAGAGGTTTTTGCTAAAAAAAATAAAATAAAAATGAAGAGCTTGTATAAAGGCTTGTTATATTAACACTCAACAGATTGTTAAATATACTCCACATACCTAATACACCCACATTTATTTTTTCTATTAAAAATTACCTTAATACAACTCACGTACTTTCCCATAATACTCTCATACCCCCACACTCTAAACATACACATTACATTTGCTAGATACACCCCACTTCTACATACACTCTACATTCTCATCTTATAATACTCATTTTTAATTTTATCAATAAACTGACTTAGGAGTATTTGCTTTTGCTTTGGGTACTTTGAGCAATCCTACACCAACGACAATTTCAATACATCGACAAGCATTATCCTATGGTTCCATATTGACCCTAAAACTAATTGGCCTACGTGGCACGCAGGCCGAATAGTTAATGAGCTAACTACGTCCTTCAGTTGAATGTGGAGCATGCCAACTCGACGACCGCTTGGTCAGTAAGTGAATGAATGTGGTGGGGGCAGTGTCAAATGCATTGTTGACTTTGTATCTTGCAATTGCATCCGAGAAAGGAAATCATCTCGGCCTCTGGGTTATAAAACCTGAATCAGTATCAGACTATATGAACACAAATACTCAAAAGAGATAAGTCTTGATTATAAATGTGGTTCGACAGTCGAAGTGCTGAACTTTGAAATATATTTGTGAATATCCAATCATAAAATATGCTCGGCTTTCAATCTGCCGAATGATGTAACTTGGTAACACCTCACTTCGTTGAGAAAGCTAATTAAGTGACACCTTCCAACAAGGACTCAAAGAACCCTTGTTGATAGAGACCTTGATAGGTAGTTAGCCGAACTTGGAGTAGTCTTGTCCACTCGAACTAAATCTCCTCAACATGTTTTTATCTAATAACGAATCATCTTCTCATTTAGATTGAACTCGATCACTCCTACTAGACCAAGGACTCTGAATCTAGCCTTTTCTTGGTGTTCAATTCATTTCTTATTCTAACCAGATCCTTAGAATATTACGAATCTTATTATGCCATCCTGATCTTTGAAGACTCTTAGCTAAATTAGGACATAGCCGAATTCATTCTTGATTTTCAAGTGTCCATCTTTAATTTAAACTTGGCTAAACCACTTTGGGTTGGGCTTCTTATCACACAGACCTGGGACTTGTCTACTTAACTATGGGCCGAGCTCATAATCTTACTCAGCCCAAATCCAATATTTTGGGCCTAAATATTGCCCTCTCGCTTTTGAAACCTTCGGCAAAGAACCTTTGGTTTAGAGGTTTCGAAGAAGTGAAAATGCTACTCGGCCAAAGACACTTGGCCAATCGTCCTAAGGAAGTTAAGACCCACTAACTAGAGCATTTAATGCACTTGATTCCTGTATCTATGCCACTCCCCTCGACTGCCACAAAACAACACGTGTCGAGTTTCAACGACATCAGTTTGTCTACGGTCGTCTCACGCATCCCATACCCCAAGCGCAGAGATGCCGAAGCGTAAATCCTTGGAGATTCTGCCTTGAAACTCGAACCTCATCATTATCGTGTGTAATGAGATATTGTAATGACATTTTAAACCCTTCCAATTCCAAAATTTTGATGATTAGGGGAGTTAGTTTGAGATTTATTCATTAAACAATTACAAACCCTCAAAGTCTCCCCTCATCATTTGCCTATAAAACCTGATAATTTTTTCCCCTTTTCTCTTACGCTTTTAGAATTCTTAGAACTCTCTCTAAGGTTTCAAACTTTCCCAGAAACCTTCCCATTTCTGTAGAAACTTAAAGCTTTTCCCGCAATGGATTCTACCAACTTCGGCCAGATGCTTTCTGAAGAACTTGAAAAAGCTTTAGACATCGTGGATCATCACATCATAAACACTTTCGTCTCCCAGATCTTGAAACCAAATTAGGGCACATCCGTGGATGGAGGTAACAACCCAATCGGACTAGCCCATGATCTCCGATGAGGGGAGAATGAGGTTGATTGGGGGGAGTGGTTGAATCCGGAAATGACTGCCTACAAATCTTCAGGAAGGACAATCAAACCACGGGTGTAGTTCGATGAAAGAATGGATTAAACCATCCTTGACGAATAGCCTATGGTGGGGCGTTGAGAGATGAATTCTCCATGGACGTGTCTACGCGTAGACCGTGGCATAAGTGATAGGAGCACATTTATGCGACTTAGTTGGCTTGTTCTTGTGCATTTATGTCGTGTTTCCTTAGTTATTTTAATGTTTAAAGTCATTTTCGTGTGTTTTCAGATTTTATGGACAAAGTATGCAAGAAGATGCATTTTGGAGGCCTTTGGAGTATGTTTCGGGCTTGGAATGGATAGCAAATGCATGGGCCAAGTGGATGGACGAATTTGAGAACTAAAGAGGCCAAGAATATGAAGAATTATGGTCCAAAAGATGAAGAAAACAACCCAAAAATCTGTCACCCCAACTTGCATTCCTTGCCATGCAAACCACATAGAATTCCCTTTAAATTCCATGCCGTGCTTGATCACTCTTGTCCCCTACATAATTTCTAATTTCATGCTTCAATTCATTTAATTATTACACTCAATTGCTTGATACCTCTTGTTCCCTTCACTCATTAGATTTTAGACAACATTTACATCCATTGCATGCACCAATTGATGCTCCATCATTCACATTTGGAATCCCATGCCTTGTGTACCACATGTTGCTGCACCTTTGACCCATTTATTGACACATTTTCACCTCCCTTTCCATCTCTATGCAATGTACACAATCATTCATGCTCCCTAGCTTCAAGACCACTCCATTTTACCCTTCACACTTTGCATCATTACTTCATTTTCACCCTTGGACCATTGCACACCACACACACAAATTGCCATGCATTTCATCCTTAACCTAACCTGATTTTCTAAGGTTTTTGGGGCCTATAAATACATGTTTACACCCCTTGGCCAAAGGACAATCCCCCATATTCATCATTTTATCACAGAAATTCGTCCATACACACCCTAGGAAGCAAAACACCCCAAAAACACCATTCTAGTGCCTAGAAAACATAACAGCCACTCCACCTTCTTCCACCCTCTTTGCCTAGTTCTCCACCACCTTCCAACCATCAAACACTCTTCCACACTCACCCTAAACCCCTCCATATCATTTCCCATCCATTCTACACCATAAATCCACCCAAAAATCTGTCCACAAGCTTCATGCCGCAACAAGGAGGAAGGGAGATCCATTGATGCACTTGCTTTCCAAGTTGGAGCATTTTAGGTGTTTTCTTTCCTTTGATTTTAATGTCTAATTTTATGTATCTTTGTATTGCAAGAATGAGGAACTAAACCCCCTTAGTTGGGGGGTGATTCGAAACCATGTACATGCTTGCAATATGATTTGATTACATTCAGTTGTTATTTCATAAGTTGCGGATTCAATTCGTTCATCTACTTGATTGATAACTTATTTGTGTATGTTGATTGAGAGTGCACACTTAGTTTTCATGCATGAATATGATGCTAGATTATGAGGGAGTTTCACCTAATAGTTACAATCTTATAATCACAAGTAGTGAAGGTCGCTTGAAAACGATCGCGTTGAATGAATTTCTGGCACTAGTTTCATGCTCATCATAGTAACGAATGCCTCGTCAACACTTATAGTTCTCATTGTGCTTCATGATTCTTGATTGTATCTTTATTGTGCTCATCACGTAAGGAACCTTTGAGGAATGCTTTGAATTGTTGTATGCGCTTTTCCATCCAATTCATTAACTTAAGGAGAACTTGAAGGTTAATTTAAGCGTATCTAATTAACTTGGGGTGTTGAGTTTCATAATTTATTGAAAGAACAACTGAAAATCATTTTGTTTGCAAGTGTGTCATGTGTGGAGAAGAACTTCCTAACTAGCCTTTTATCCATCCTTTTCATCCAAAAACGTTTTTACAATCTGTTTTGTTTTAAAGTTTCTGTTTTTGTTTTCAAATTTTCGTCCAAAACAAATCCCCCTTTATTTTGAAGTCTTAGATTAGTTAGAAAGTGTTTTGATTTTGTGTTTCTAAGTGTTTTGATTCAAGTTTTCATCCAACTTCGTCCAAGTTCTTGTTAGGTTCTCAAAACTGCCCAGAAAGTGGTTTTTAGGCAGTTTTGAGTCATTAGGTTGCTGTTTTGAGTTTTATGTTTGTTTAAGTTTTTAAAGTATAGTTTTGCATTCTTTGAGTCTAGTTTAGTGTTTTAAATTTTGTTTTTATGTTTTTAAGTCAGTTTTCAAGTGTTTAGCAATCCCTCCTAATCCCCGGCCTAGAACGATCCCTACTTACATACTTTACTACATTTGATAAAAAAAGGGTTTAAATTTGTGTGTTTAGTTATTTTACGCATCAAATTTTGGCGCCGTTGCCGGGGATTAGCAAAGTTGCTAATCCCTTGTCTTGAGTCTTGTTTAAATTGTTTAGTTTTATTTATTTATTTTATTTTTTTTTATTTATTTTATTTTTTATTTTTATTTTATTTTATTTTTATTTTTATTTTATTTATTTTATATTTTTTATAATTACCCTGTTTTGTTTACTTATGATATTTGATTTAGTTTTATTTCTTTGATATCAGGTACTAAAAGAAGTAAGACATGACAATTGCTAATCTTCAAGCTCAAATGGCAATTCTTACTTCTCAATTGTCACAGTACATCGAAAGGACCACAATAC